TTCCGATATATATTCAGCAAGATGGTGCTTTCAGCTTCCAGCGTTAAAAACTGAGCAAGAGTACACAAGTCCTAAAGAGGAGGAATTGCACACTGGTTCGTTCAGGTCAATTTTATATGATCTCTTTCCCCATAAATTGTAAGCTTAAAAAAAAAAAAAACAACCCCACCACCACCAAAACCGAAAAACACAAAGCGAATGCAAATATTAGCCCATACATGAAAATATAAATGATGTTCCAAACTGTGTTGGCTCCAGATGTTTTTACGAGTGAAACGGTTTACTGTTTTCATATATTTAAAACATTCTATTTTTTTCACTTGATGTTATAAGCTTTGGGCAAAGTTGCTGGCATTGATTTAAGTTACGCTTTTGTACCACATGTAGGTTCTGAAAAGATAGAGTACGAACAAGAATCTAGTCATTGCTATTGAGAGGTAATAACTATTTACACTTTCTTCAGCAATTATTTTGCTGAGGAGCTTTGCACTGAAGCTTTCTTTGACTGAAAAGTCATAAATTTTCACAAAGGATGGTATCGCATAGCCATACTTATGTGATAACTTCACACAGAAACTTTGTGCATCATTTCAGTAAGCGTCTGAAGTCGTTTATTTGCCTCCACATTAGTTGCCTATATTTGCATTCTGCTTATAGAGTTTAAAATGAAAGCATAAAGCTCTATAGAGATTTGTATTTCCAGTTCTTGCGTGCTTAAAACCTCTTATTAAAGAAGTAATAAGAACGCTTGATGTAGGACTTGCGTACTTATTAGGGGACTCCAGAGCCCAAGGAAGCACAATCCCGAATATTCAGATTTGATTACGAAGCTAGTGGCAAACACTTCGCAGTGCCATTATAACTTTGCTATTGCGTTCTTTTTTTTTTTTTCTTTTTTTTTTTTTTTTCTTCTTCTTTCCCTTTTGGAGCCTCTCCTACCTCTCCCTAAAAAGCGCTATTTGGCTCCGTCTCGTATTTCTCTTGGAAACCTAATCTTTCTCCCTCCCCCTCGCACCCTCTCACTTTCTTCACCGTGCTTCACTTATTTCACTTTTTTTTTTTTTATCCCGTGCGCGAAATCCTGTGCGGCCATCCCCTAGAATTAAAAAAAAAAAAAAAAAAAAAAAAAAAAAAAAAAAAAAAAAAAAGCAATTTTAAACAGGT